AACCTACTGGAGGAGACGTGTCAACTCACTCAAGAAAGTCTATATGTAGCTCAAGGCTGTCAGAAGCCCTTCTATGACCAGAAGGCCAAGGACTGATGTTTCAAGGTCGGAGAGAAGGTCTTGGATTTGCTGCCCACGCACACAACAAAAAACTCACCCTTCATTGGAAAGGACCTTTTGAACTGCAGAAAGTGGTCAATAGAATGTACTATAAGGTGAAAGTGGATGGAAAGACCAAAATATATCTCGCCAATATGTCGAAGAGGCATTTCGAGAGGGAAGAATACCTAATAGATGCAGCTATTAGGGCACAAATGGACAATGCAGGTGTGGATGTTATTGATGCAGAACCAGAAGATCGTGGTTTTTGTCATAGAAGATGAAGATCTACTAGATATAAGACTGCAGAGTGGAAATGAGAAGCACAAAGTTGCCAACATCAGTGAAGAACTGACTGGTAAGCAGAAGAAAGAACTACAAGATCTACTGTGCCAGTACAAAGATGTTACCACAAATAGACCAGGCAAGATAGACCTTGTGCAACACAAGACTGAGACCACAACCAGGGTTCCAGTCAACATGAAGCTCTACCATAAGCTCTACGTGACGAGAGACCTGATCAAGCAAGAAGTTGAGGTAATATTAGAAGCAAGAATCACCGAGTCTTTTAATTCAGTCTTCGGTTTATTGGTGATAATCATGAAGAAGAAGGACTGGTCAATCTGTTTCTGCATATATTTCCAGAAGCTAAACCTCGTGAGGAAGTTTGACTCCGAACCTATGGGTAATCCCTGTAAATGTTATTGGCAGGTCTCAATGGAGACAGGGTTTAAAACTACACTTTCTGACACCAGATAGATTCTACTAGTTCACGAAGATGCTGTTTGAGTTAGTCAACTGAGCAGCAACATTCAACCACATGATAAGGAAGATATTGCACATTGAGCATTATATGGACGAGCCAGATGGGAATACTACATGAAGAAACTCAGAGAGCTGTTCAGGCGAGTGAAGGCGGCAAATATGACCATCAGACCATCTAAGTGCTACATCATTCATGTCAGAAAAACACGTAGGTTTAAGAAGTCTTGATACAAAATGATAAAGACCCTATAACCCGAGCGCTTTCAAAAGGTATACCTTTCTACGTCAGGGGCAAATTGGGAATGTGCTACATCAGTTATTCTGTGCTGGACTTTGTTAGACACACGGTTGGTGACCGACAGATAGCCATGGAAGAAGAGAAGCTAATCCACATGCAAGATTTACAAGCTCAGATGACCAAAGCAGCAGGTCAGATCCTTCCTGGGGTTAGCAGGATATTATAGGAAGTCCATCCCAAACTACGTTGAAGTTGCTGCACCACTGACTGGACATACTAAGAAAGGCCAACCCAACAAGGTGAAACGGGAACAACCACAGAAGATGACATTCTAGAAGTTGAAGGACATGTTAGAAAGCTCGCCAATCTTTAGAATGTCAGACTTCAACAAACCATTCATCATTCAAGCTGATGCATCAGATGTTGGAATTGTGCAATATTTCTGCAAGAACATGAAGACAGAGTGTTTCCTGTAATGTAAAGCAGTATAAAGCTGTTGAGTATTGAGAAGAATTATTCTTTGGTTGAACAAGAGTGTCTGGCCATCATATTTGTGTTCCAGAAATTCCAGAACTACATCTATGGGAAGGAGTTCATCATCCAGATGGACCATCAGCCCCTTGCATTTATCCAGAGACATAAAATCGACAGTGCGAGGATCATGAGATGGGCGTTGTACCTCCAGAACTACTGGTTCTGAATTGTGGCTATCAAGTGAACTGTGAATATTGGTGCAGACTGTATGAGTAGACTTTGTGAATGAAATGAAAACGGGTTTTCTGCACAGTATAAAAATATGGTAAATATTTTTCTTGAAGAGGAATTTATTGTTAGATATATACTACTGTTTCCGTTTAAATAGAGCTCGAGGGTTAAATTTAGTTATTTTTAGAAGTATTAATTTATCGCAGATTTGTTTAAATAACTCTATACGAATCATATGTTGTGTAGTTCAATTGTTGTGAACTGGCTTGTATTATTATGTCATGTTACTAGAACCTAAATATATGACTATTTAAATGATATATTAAATTTATTAGACATATTTCCTGCTTATTTTATTATAATACTTATGTTTCTGAGCACCTTTATTTATATTATAGATATCAATTTAAGACTGTTTATTATAATACTTATGTTTCTGAGCACCTTTATTTATATTATAGATATCAATTTAAGACTGTTTATTATAATACTTATGTTTCTGAGCACCTTTATTTATATTATAGATATCAATTTAAGACTGGTTTGGCTGAATATAGTCTTATGACTTTTAGAATCTTTTTGATAAAATGTTGTTTAAGATTTAAGTATTTATGAACTGCACTTCATAAAAGTTACATTTTTACAACCCGAATAGATGAATAATATTTAACATAAGACAATACACTTTGTAACTGAATTAAGCTCCCTAACGTATTATGAAAGTTTACCATTTCTTGAATAGAATTTTAAAGTTCGAGAAGCATCAAGTTTTAAAATAATTCAACAGATATAATTTCACTTTCCTGTGTTTCAATTAAGTTTTAAAATAATTCAACAAATATAATTTCACTTTCCTGTGTTTCAATCCATTTATCCCTTTAAAATATTTAAAACAAATAAAAATATCCCTAACAAATCACTTGTATGTGAACAGTTAATTTTAAAGTTCCAAACGTAGCCTGGCCATGTGATAGTCCAGGCTTAATTTTGTTTATCAGAAGGACTTCTTTAATTCACAGTATTTAACCATTATTTGTTCTTCCTACTAACGAAAAATGCTCCAATCGAACTCCTTCGTTAAGGAACTTCAAAGTGCAACTTTGAAAATTTTACCATTTACTATTTTTGAACAGCTTGTGTATTTATGAAAGAGCTTTGATTCAGCTTCAAATCTATCAGTCCGCTTGCCGTTTGTTTTTGATTTGTAAATGCATCAAATCAGTCTCGTTGTTTATGTGACCTAGCTTCACTGAGGTGGACTTCTGTTTTAGTTAAGAGTTATACTTTTCTAAGATAATTTATAAAATTTAGTTATTTCTAATATCTAATCGAAAAGTCGAAATTGCAGGAAGTAGTGAAACTTCTATCTCTATATTTAAATATCTTATCACATTTTTATCTAATTATATTCAGTGTTGTACAAATATTAATTGAGCTCTCATCTAAAAAAAATAATTGGGTTAATTAGTTAAAATGATTATATCCTAAGACTTTAAATAGGAAGGAAAGACAGTTTTATTTTACAGTTCACTTGACTAATATGCCTCCCAGTGGCTCAGCGGTCAGTTTGAGGGCTTAAACACTAAGAACAGGGTTTCGATACCCGCGGTGGAAAGAACACAGATAGCTCATTTAATAGCTATGTATTTAAGAACAAACAAACAATACTGACTAATACTGATTAGTATTGGATTCGAGACGGGCTGATATTATAACGACAGAAATTTAAACCTAATATTCAAGAAAGAAAAGTCAAGTGTTTCAGGCACTTTCTGTGTAATTTAATTTATTACAGGTTATGGTTTGAGGTCGGGGATATAACCTTATGAAATAATTTCAGGCACAATACAGAAGTTAGTAAACACTAGCTGGAGTACCCGTCTCCTGGACGGAAGTTATGTAAATTCATGATTAATGAAAGGTTATCTTAGGACATGTAAAGTTGATTCCCTTGTATGTAATTGTAAAAAAACGCCCATAAAAACTGCAAAACACAAAATATGAAATTGTATCTTTGCATGTATCTCCACATGGGTCCAACAAACCTTTATACCAAATTTCGTGAGGATCCATTTAAAGGGGGCGAAGTAGTGGTAAAACTGAAAATTTGTATGTACCCCCTGTATGGGCCTAATGAAGCTCCATACCAATTTTGTTGAAGATCCATCCACATCCTGCGAAGTAGTTACATGGACAGACAACAGACAATACTATTATATTTATATAGACATGTATATATAGACAGAAGATAAGAACCGTGTCTGGTCGTTGTATGAATTCGAAAAGTAAAAACTTAGTTATTAAAATGTCTTTGTACCGTTTGCCAAGCTTAGACGTTGCTAGTGAGAAAACCGTAGACTTATTTTACAATAGTCGATTTAAAATACACAGCTATTTGTAAATGTGAAGTAAATGTTTTTTGTTTTTCTAAGTATAAGCTACACAATGGGCTATCTGCACTGTGCCCACCTCAGGAATCGATCGCTGAATTTTAATGTTATACGATCTCAAGCTGACCGTTGACTCACCGGGAGAGGGAATAGAATAAAAAAAGAAGCATAATAAAGATGTTTTTGAACACCGTATTAAGAAAACGTGAACTTTCTATGTTAATAAGAGTTATTAAGATGCTTTAAAATAATAACGTTTGGACACTGAAGGTGGAGACACAGTTTAATAAAGACAGTGAAATTTCCCTTATACACAAAATAGACGCACGTTTATACAAACAGTTTGTAATACTATAAGGTGCACCAGGTCAAGTTACACAGGCAAAGAAAAATCGTGATTTTTTTTTTAAATCTAACTACTGAAGGTGACTATTTTCAGCTAAACATATACGAATAGTTTATTCTTTACAATTTTTTTTACAACAAATCGGAAGGCATCTGGTGTTTTGAAGTTTTACAAAAAAGTTCGGCATATTTTGCATAAGTGCTTGTAATATGTAAAATAGCGAGATTTATCAACGTAATGAAACAAATCAATCATAACTTTTTTCATCTTTTCTGTTTCAATATCACACTTTCAAAAGCTAGCTGAACATTTAATTGAATAATGTAAGTAGTTTTATTTTTCGTCACTGTTTCTAATAAAATTTTCAACAACTCCTAGCAACTGCTTTTGTCACATTTGGAATTTAAATAAAATAAATTAACTTGATATAGCCTAATATTAAAATTATTTTATTAATTTTTTTTTCTAAGTGGACAAACTATTTGATTTTTAGAAGTGTTTACCAATAAATACAGGCAACTTGTTAAAGTTACAAATTAAACAGGTACCGGTAAGTTTTGTGTGATATTTCAGACCGCTTAAAATTCCTTAGAAAAGTCTTTCAAAACAGAAAAAGTCGTAATATCAAAAGTTTTAACCACGCATGCCAGTTTAACTTGAAAATGGTTTGAAACTGACATAATTGAAATCATGGCAATGACACGAGTATAACAACACATTCCACCAATAAGAGACAATAGAATTGTGGGATGATACAACTTTTACTGGTTAAGAAACAGAAAACAATAACTTATTTAGCTAAGGTGTACCATTTAAATTACAGATGTTCCAAATGTTATTACCAAGCTTTGATAAATCTATTTAAAACAGTATTTTATATTATTGGATTTTTTAATCTGAATTACTTTCAAACTATTTATATGCTTTTGTTATTTAATAGGCTTGAAAAAAGATAATTATTCTTAATCACCATAACACGTGATACTGATATACAGTGTTTTATGATTAACATTTTTATTCAATTACCTAGACTTGTATAATTATTTAAACCATTAGCACACAAAATGTTTGATCAAGATTTATTCTTTTGGACCTATTTACCAAAGAAATCAACAACAGAGTTGTCTTTGAAGAAGTTATTTTGAAATAATTGATCATAACATTAGGAAATTCTTTGTCAAAACGATATACAAATTCCATTTTCAGATTTCCAGCTAAGTGACCTAAGCTGAAGTCTTAGTTTCCAAGTTTGCCTTCATTCTTCCCTTAATATATACAAAGTGTACAATGCTTGCTTCGAACTTCTTATCACAGCAGAGTTGTCAGTTCGAATGTTTTTTGTATAAGAACAAGAGCGAGACTTAAAGAAAACATTTTTAAGCAGCATAAACACTTGTTTCTATAGATACAAAACATGTCTCAAATTATTTGAAATACGTGAATGTGATTTGCATAAAGCAAACCTTTTATTAATTGAAGTACACTTCAATATTTACTACTTGTAAAAAAGAGGAAAACTTATCTACTTTTCTTTTGCACAGTTCAATACGTTTGAAGTGTAACACCGAAATTTTCCATAAAACTTACAAGGCAGAGGTTATACAAGTTTTTTTTTTAAGGTTAGAATGTACGATATTACATCGCAGATAATTCTGCGATTTTACAGAATAGATTCGTATGTTATGAACAGTAAAAGGGATCACGTTAATAAATAGAATAACTGTTCATCTGAAAGAACAAGTTTACAGTAACACCATCACAATGACATCTGTGAAGGAATGGGCATTTTAGGCTCACGAAATCGCGAATGCCTTTGATATATATATATATATATATATTATACGTTTTTTAATTTAAAATGCTCTAACGTAGAATTCTAAAAATTCACATATAATCATGACTGAAAAAGAATATTGTTATCCGTATAGGTGTGCATATATTTGCATTGAAGTGCGTCAAGTTGAACACGGTAAAGGCTATGCTTACAGTAAGTACTCATAACCGTATTGTCGCTTAAAGTTACATTTATCGTATAATCCATACATCTAAATGCTTAACACATAATTATCTTTTCTTTTAGGATCTGTACATGCAGGTTCCACTCATTTACAAAAGAAAAAATCATAGATAAATTCCATAATTGGAACTGATATGGTTGTTATGGAGAGATCACAGATGGCGCTCTTATCGAGTACTCAGCCAGGTCTCTCCAGAAAAGTTAGTGCTCATAATATCACCAAGTGAAACTTCTGAGCTTGGTTTTAGTTGTTTTTTTTTTCAATTACATGCCTTATACATTCACTGGAACTGTTTTAGTAGCACCACTCTCGTACTCAGGAGTTTCAAACGTTCTATGTACTTAGCACCCTTTACACCATACTGCTACAAAGTTCATCAAATTGTTCCAGGTTAGAATTCAAAGAAAAGAGGGCAGTGTTCGGAGCTTCACACCTGTTAATGGAGTGCTTTGTTTGAAATATTTCATTAAGTTAATTATTTGCGATATTTTGCCAGTACAAATATTATACCTAAAGTTAGGCTTAATCAATGGTCACAAGCACACACTTGTTAGAATAACAGAACACATCAAGCCAAACTGAATATTTTCCAGAACAGATGAAGAATCTCTTCTAGTCAAGAAAAGCTCAATTTCCACATCGAATGATTTTGCTCATAGTTGAGGAGAGTAGCCTAAGTTCTTTCTCTGTAAGAACAGATGTATTTCTCTAAAATTAGGCCTATCGTTATCGTTTCTCTGCCAACACTCACGCATGAGATCATAGATCTCTTTGGGGCAGTTTGGAGGCTGAGAGGGAAGTACGTGCAGACCATCGTTGTGATAGAAGTGCCCTACGTTCTCGATCACTTGCTCGTCACCCAAGTCAGAATAGGGCTGCTGCCGGGCGAAGGTTAAGATTTCCCAGAGAGTAACGGCAAAGGCCCAGACATCGCTTCTCGTTGTGAATTTGCCCTGGAATGACAGAACCGAAGGTAAAAAGTGAGATCTTCCAAAAGACATAAAAAATAAACATCTATAATAATACTCAGTTTTTATCTGTTCTGAAAATACGCGCGCACCTTACTATCTACATGTGCATGCGCGCGCACTTCATTTCAACGGATGTAAACAAAAGGCGGAAGTAAATATACTTTAGCAGACATTTTGTACAACAACATATTAAAAGCTTATCAAAGTTTTTAAAAAGGTCTAACATTAGATCATAGAATAACATTATAAGTTTATTTATGGATAATATTAAATACGGTAAAGTTTAGCCTTAACTAAACTAAAGCAAAAAAACGTACACAAATTACAGTGTTAATTTATCTATTTATCGAATATAAGCCGTACTTAATAAAGGCAAATGCTAGGCCTAAGGTAAGTGGACATATAGATTTCGGTGTCTGCGATTAGATTCCTGTATTTAAAGAAGTTATGTTGCAATAAAGATACTAATATGACCGCAAATGTTTTTCGGGTCTCTGCTAGTTAACATTAGGGGCCGGCATGGCCAGGTGGTTAGGGTGCTCGACTCGCAATCTAAGGGCGGGTTCGAATCCCCGTCACACCAAATATGCTCGCTTTTTCAGCCGTGTGGGCGTTATAATGTGACGGTCACTCCCACTATTCGTTGGTAAAAGAGTAGCCCAAGAGTTGGCGGTGGGTGGTGATGACTAGCTGCCTTCCATCTAGTCTTACACTTCTAAATTAGGGACGGCTAGCGCAGATAGCCCTCGTGTAGCTTTGCGCGAAATTCAATAACAGATTATAAATTTAACATTAATCTCAATATTTGGTCTTTCACCACCGAAAACAATAACAGCTATACAAAACTTATGATTTTTTTGAAAAATTACAATGTTTGAACTTTAAAACAAAAGCTTCAAAAAGAACGTACAAAATATCTTAGTTTTCTTATATATTTTCTTCATTTTCGTTTTTGTTTCTATCTAATTGAATTTATGTTGATTGTTGGACAAACAACAAGCATGGCCAGGTGGATAAGGCGCTCGACTCGCAATCTGAGGGTCACGGGTTCGAATCCCCGTCCCATTAAACATGCTCGCCCTTTCAGCCGTGGGGGCGTTATAATGTGACGGGTTAATCC